AGATTTTTGACGTTAAGGCTGATTTTCGAGTTATTGATTATTTTGAGACTTATAGTAATCTTATATGGCGAACATTTTTGCAGAACACTTACAGATCTTATCTGTACATACATGCGTATAATCTACATGCGTATATTTGCATATAGATCATACGCACTTGTGTTTGATAGTCGATGGATTACATACAAAGTATTATGGTTGAAAATTTGAGACATTACTGACCTTAAGTCCTATTGAATCGGCATTCTGTTTACAGTATGTAGGTAGAGAATTTATGAAATTATTGAATAAATCGTTTCATAAATGTTAATTCCTTTTGCAATTTCTTTTTAATTTGAATACCATAATAAAATCTCATAAAACCTTCTGACAAACACCTATACCTAACACTTAAAATACCCCAAATAATTACATTACAATGTGTCCGGTACGTATCTCCATCCTAACACAATTAATGAACTCTGAAACCAATTTAACACCCAAAACTCTCTTCTCCACCAAAAATAATGTCCATCCTACAAATAATGAAGGATCTCTCCAATTCAATTTATCAAATCATCCAACGATACTCCAGCACTTAAATATTACTTTCGAAATCGATATCTTTTATCTCGCCCACTTCAGGTTGTCAATTTTCTATCTCTTGTTATGGATCAGTATTGACACCAAAATGCACACACACACACACACACACAGAGAACACACTCACCCACAATCAGACACATATATCTAGCTATCATTAACATGTCGTCGGATAGTCAACACCCAACTAATAACAACAATGCCTTCCAATAATCTTTCAAGGGATATTTTCTAAATCCTTGGCATAACACATACACACACATACAACATTATGCAATGCATGTAGGTGTATATGCAGGCATATGTGTGCATGTGTGGGAACTATATTGCCAACAAGCCTATAACAATTGCCTCATTGTACAAACAATCAGGACCAAACACATAAAACTTCGGACATGGTTCATTTGCTTCGGCATTCATCATCAACAGATTTAATTGTCAAACATGTCAAAACTATGTTCAAATCATTACAAATGCCAAATACAAACACAAACTCACTCATACATATGCAAATGTATTGTGGTGTAGTATATAGGAATTGTTATGTGAAATTTGGGAATGCTTGTTCAGCAAATGTTATTATTTATGAGGAGGATTTGTTGTGAAAATTTCGAAAGAGATAATTAATGCTGACAAGGATGTTATATATATATATATATATATTGGAAGTTGGAAATAAATTTAGTTTTAAAGGATCAGTTGAATTCTGATAGGTGGACAGCATAATTATATACTAAAATTCCCTATTCAAAACCAGTTCTGTGAGGTCAATGTCTTATTCTGGTAAAAATAGAAGGATATCGGTTTTTCATACGAATAATACTATACAACTAGTAAAAACGTAATTAATTGAGATCGGGTTGATTTAATACCCTCCCTCAACCATGTATTGTGCATTTAAAATTCCTAAAGTTGGTTGGGATGTTTATATAGGGCAATGACATTGTATATTTTATTTCAGAACTTGGACCCAGAGACCCCATTTCCCATACCAGTGTTTGTATTTTTATAAAAACCATCTGAGCCAAATTTTGGCCGCCTATGTCAAGTTGTTCGGCAGTTAATGAGTTTATACCCAATTTTTGGGTAAATACTCAAAATAGGGGTACCTTTGTATGGGGGTTACCAGTAAACGTGGACCTACATACATAAAATTTTGCATGGACATTTGGTACCCAAAGAGAACACTCTGTGCCAAATTACAGTCAATTTGGTTGTAAAATGTATCTAATAGACAAAAAATACCTTAAATCGGGAGATACGGTTATATGGGGGCTATATCAAAACTTGGACCCAGGGATTTCTATATTTGCTTTAATATTAGAAACATGTGTGCAAAATTTTGGCCGCCTATGTCAAGGGGTTCGGCAGTTAATGAGTTTATACCCAATTTTTGTGTAAAAACTCGGGTATTTACCCATGTCTTTAAAGTATCGTAAAACTATCCATTCTAAATCGATTTGATAACAGAAACCCGGAAATAGAGAGTAAGATGTTGTATTACCGATTCAATATAGTAAATACCCAAATAAATACCCGCAAATGGGTATTTACCCGGCATTTACCCACCCCTTGGTATTTACCCGGTAAATACCATCTCTACTAATTTGTATTAACTTCAGTACGTTGTGTCAATCGGCCTAGCTATCTTTAGTGCACCATTTACATAAAATCGAAATCAGAAGAAAATATATATAGGAGCTATATCTTAATCTGAACCGATTTTCCCCAAACTTAACACACATCATTCTAGACTTAATTCAGTACTCGATGCCAAATTTCATGCAAATCGAAGGATATGTAGGGGTTTTTGTGCACTATTTACCTAAAATCGGACCAACATATATATGGGAGCTATATTTATATCTGAACCGATTTTCAAGAAATTTTACACATACCATTCTAGATTAAATTCAGTACGCTGTGCCAAATTTCGTCCAAATCGAAAGATATACAAGGACTTTGGTGCACTATTTACCTAAAATCGGCCGAAAATATATATGGGAGCTATATCTAAATCTGAACCGATTTTTCCCAATTTCAATAGGGTTCGTCCTTGACAAATAAATGAGCTGTGCCAAATTTCATCCAATTTGGATAATAACTGCGACCTGTACTTTGTTTACAATTTAACATGGACAGACGGACGGACAGACGGGCATGCATACATTGACTCACAGACGGACATGCATACATTGACCCTCTACCACAGTGTGGTGAAGGGTATAAAAAGGATGTGTGACGTGAGGTATTTGAAGGTAACAATATACCTGCTTGGGATTCTGGAAACAATACTTCCTTTATAATTACATTACTATATCCCGACCTCAGTAAAAGCAGAATGAGAAAAAAACGCCTTGTTCGAAATTGCAGGAGGAAGTTGCCGTTTATGCCTTCACTATATAGTTCGAGGTTGAGGAGATGAATCTACCACATCTCTCTCTCTTTTAAGACGCTATGAAGATTTCTCTGATCCAGAAGGTAATATCAAGAGGACTTTGGACTTAACACTTTCGGATTATAGACCGTGTATTTTTCTTACACCTGTTGCCAACCGCCTGAAGTATCATATTATCACTCTCACACCAGCAGTTTATTTAAAACTTAATTTCCTTACGTTACAATTTCGTACTATTATAATATTAATTCTGATAAATTCAAGAAAGATATTCTAAATGCTCATCCAGTATCACTGTAGCACACCGAATGATATATTTACAGAGTTCCATTCTGTATACCCTTTACCACACTGTGGTACAGGGTATTATGTCTTTGTGCATATGTTTTTAACAGGCAAAATGAAACGAGATAGACACATGGTTCCTTTTGAGAATATGAATAGAATCACTTTCTAAGTCGATTTATGCATGTCCGTCCGTCAGTCTGTCCATGTTAAATTGTAAACAAAGTACAGGTCGCATTTATGATCCGAATTTAATGAAATTTGGCACAGGTCACTTACTCGGCCCAGATTTAGATATAGCTCCCATATATATAATTTCCGATTTAATGTAAACGGTCCCTATATATCATTCGATTTGCACGAAATTTGGTACAGCGCAATGAATTAGGTCTAGAATGATGTGTGTCAAGTTTCTTGAAAATCGGTTCAGATTTGGATATAGCTCCCATATATATTTTCGTCCGATTTAATGTAAATGGTGCACCAAAGTCCCTATATAACTTTCGATTTGCACGAAATTTGACACAGCGTAATGAATTAGGTCTAGAATGATGTGTGTCAAATGTCTTGAAAATCGCTTCAGATTTAGATATAGCTCGCATATATAGTTTCGACCGATTTTAGGTAAATGATGCACCAAAGTCCCTGAAAATCATTCGATTTGCACGAATTTTGGCATAGCGTAATGAATTAGGTCTAGAATGATGTGTGTTAAGTTTCGTAAAAATCGGTTCAGATTTATATATAGCTCCCATATATAGTTTCTCCCGATTTTAGGTAAATGATGCACAAAGTCCCTGGAAATCATTCGATTCGCACGAATTTTGACATAGCGTAATGAATTAGGTCTAGAATGATGTGTGTTAAGTTTCGTAAAAATCGTTTCAGATTTAGATATAGCTCCCATATATAGTTTCGTCCGATTTAATGTAAAAGGTGCACCAGAGCCCCTATACACCTTTCGATTTGCACGAAATTTGCCATAGCGTACTGAATTGAGTCTGGAATGGTGTGTGCTGAGTTTCGTGAAAATCGGTTCAGATTTAAATATATATGTTTTCGTTCGATTTTATATAAATAATGTACCTAAGTTCTTATATTGCATAGCGTACTGAATTTAGTCCAAAATGATGTGTGCCAAGTTTCGTGATGATAGGTTGAGATTTAGATATAGCTCCCTTATATATTATCGATTGATTTTAAGTAATTGACGCACCAAGGAACCAATATATGGCTGATGGGAATAAAACGTACTGAAATTAGTATAACCTAACCTGTGACAAGTTTCGTTGAAATCGGTTCATATTTGTCAAATTGACATGAAATTTTGCACAACGTACAAAATTGAGCATAGAATAACGTAGGCGCGTTTTCTAGAAGTACAGAAACAGCCCAACGGATGTCCTATTGATATTTGTTTGAAGTCGATTTACATACTTTTGCCCATTGTAACAAACGAATGTCATGCTTATGGATTGGTCTAAGTCGATTCACATTTAGATAAATATCACATAACTTAGTTCATATAATTTCATTTTAAAAGTCCTGTTTAATATACCCATAGTGTTGAAGGGTATCATATAGTCGGCCCCGCCCGACTTTACTACTTTCCTTACTGGTTTTTTTGATGAAAGAAGGAAAATCATCCTTGCGAAATTTGTGTTGATAATTCAACATCTTTATTTATTTGATTTTATATATTAAACCAAAATACTTATAAACAATTCATATATGTTTATTTCTTTACATACATTGTTCTCAACAATGCGAAAAACTTATAGGACATCTGTATAAGCTATAGAAAAATAAAATAAATGTAGTGATTAATTGTATATTAATATTGCAAATGAAAAATATTATTTACAAAACCCAATCTTACCACCGCCATTGTTTCCTGTGAAATCCATATAAAAGTGGTAGCTTTCAGCTGGGCCGGTCTCTGGGCACGCTTTGACATTAATATCAACATTTTCTGGCATTTAACATCACTTCGCAACCAATCGCCAGTGAAAACTGCTGTCGATACATTGAGACTCTTAAAAAATAATTCAATAATTTCATATATATGGGGGAAATGTTTAAAATATTTTTTTATTTACCGCATCCATTAAAGCTTGCCCCGAGTAACATATCAAAGCCGATTCAATAAGCATTGTGAGCAGGAAAATTAACAATTTGAAGAGGCTGAGGAATGAGGTGCCAATTGTCATCAGAAATCCCACTAAGCAAATTACCACCGAGGCTGAGGCGAAGTGGACGAACAGTAGCAAACCAAATATATCATTCAAACGTTCTGAAAGGCTGTAAAAAAATAGAAGAAGAATTAAGAAGTAACCTGCAAGGAAAGGGCAATAGTCGGAAGGGCAGACTATATGATACTCTACACCACTTTCGTCTCCATCAGATAAACTGAGGATGTTTGATGCATCATTCACATATGTGGGAGGAATATATATATCTTAACCAATTTCAAGAAAACTGAAAAACACCAATCATTCTGCTCTCAATTTGGTACGCTATGTAAATGTGGGTCTAATCGGAAAAAACATTGGGGATGTGGTTTGCAGAAAAATTATATATGGGAGCTATATCTAAACCTAAACTGATGTTTTTTCTATTTGGATAGACCTACATTTTTTCTATATAGGCACCCTATCGCCCTGACTTTCAAGTTGTCTATAAAATGTTTTAGAACTGCAACTCCTCTGTAAAACATAGTCTGGCTGCTGTTGTATAAAAGGCGAAGACATCCTTCATTTCAACTATTAAGACTCACTGGGCTTCTGTTGATCTATAAAGCCTTTCCAATCTACACCTCGGCTATAAAAACCCAATTCATAAGCTTGACCTTCAGCACGTCTATACAGCCTCCCACGACTTCTTCCATTTGATTACAGATCGTCTATAAAACTTGATTAGGTTTCTAACCTGTTATAAAGCCTGTCTAACTTTCAGATCGCTCCATCGAAGGATCCATCGCCTTAATGTCCCTTATGAAGCCTTTTGACTTTCAACATGACTAATAATTGTTTACCCACCAAGAACCCCTTATACCAAATTTCTGCCACCTCGGTAGAAAAATATGCTTAGGACCATAAATCTTTATATGGAGGCTATATCAAAGAATGGGCCCATATAGAAAATTGTCTGCAAATATGTTTTTTACCCACGAAAAAACCGGAATGTCACATCTCTGCAATTTCGTTTTAAAAAATGCGTTTCATAGCCAAAATATGGGCTTCTTTCCAATAAGAACTCAAAATGCCATTGGACAGCCACTTCGTTTTTTAATGCGCCAATGACCATCAAAATACCTTAAATCGGAAGTGATCTGTATATGGGGGCTATAACAGAACGAAATTATTGTACATAAATTATTTGCACCCCTTCTGAAACCGTAATACCACATTTCAGTCGCTTCGGTGGGAGCATGCCACTAAAACTTGCAAAATACCGAAGATCGGGAGGTATTATTATATGAGGGCTATATCGTGAACCCATATTGATCATTTTCAGTAGAAAGATTTGACACCCAAAGAATACCCAAAACACCAAATTATGTGGGATGTGGGAGTTATACGCAAATATTTTCAGGGGACTACCTATGCTGGCATTGTTTAGTATTACCATTACCACACTAAAGGGCGGGAATTTGGCGATGATGACTAAGAATTTTTCTGGAGGTTCCGATATTGAAAATTTTTATAACCTTAAACCATAACAACAACTGATTAATTTGAAAAGCGTGCTTAAAATCTTCAAAATACCGAATATCAGGCGAGCCGTTATAATAGACCTATACAAAAACCAGTAACGAAAGTAATAAAGTCGGACAGGAGAGATGGAAGTCTTCTTCCTAGAGGAGAGCTGGAGGTATTCTTCAGCCTATAGCAGAACTGCTGCTGGTATTCTTCTTCCTATGGAAGACCTGGAGGTATTCTGCATCCAATGGGAGATCTGGATTTATTCTTCTTCTATAGGATAGCTGCATGCAATTTTCTCGCTATAGGAATGCTGGGGACGAACTTCAGGTATTCTTGTTCCCATGGAAGAACTGCATGTATTCTTCTTCCAGTGAAGAGCTGCAGATATTCTTCTTCCTATGGAAGAGCTGCAGGTATTCTTCTTCCTATGGAAGAGCTCCAGGTATTATTCTTCCTATCTAAGAGCTGCAGGTGTTCTTCTTCCTATGAAAGACCTGGTATTCTTTTTCCTATGGAAAACCTGGAGGTATTCTTCATCCTATAGCAGAGCTGCAGGTATTCTTCTTCCTGAAGAAGAGGTGCTGGTATTTTTCCTTCTGTGGAAGAGCTGCAGGTTTTAATCTTCCTTTGAAAGAGTTGCACGAATTCCTCTTTCTGTGGAAGAGCTGCAGGTATTCTTCTTCCTATGGAAGAACTGCAGGTACTCTTATTTTTGTGGAAAAGCTGCAGACATTCTTCTTCCTGTAAAAGAGTTGCAGGTATTCCTCTTTCTGTGGAGGAGCTGCAGGAGTCTTCTTCCTGTGAAAGAACTGCACGTATTCTTCTTCCTATAGGAGAGCTGGAGGTCTTCTTCCTTCTTGATACCTGCAGCTATACTGTGGAATAGCTGCAGGTATTCTTCTTCCTATGGAAGAGCTGGAGGTATTATTCTTCATATAGGAGAGCTGGAGGTATTCTTCCTCCTATAGCAGAGCTGCAGGTATTCTTCTTCCTGTGAAAGAGCTGCACGAATTCCTCTTCCTGTAGAAAAGCTGCAGGAGTCTTATTCCTGCGAAATAGCTGCAGGTATTCTTCTTCCTATAGGAGAGCTAGAGGTCTTCTTCCCAGAGAAGAACTGCAGGTCTTCTTCTTCCTGTAAAAGAGCTGCAGGTATTCCTCTTTCTGTAGAGGAGCTGCAGGAGTGTTCTTCCTGTGGAAGAACTGCACGTATTCTTCTTCCTATAGGAGAGCTGGAGATATTCTTCCTTCTTGATACCCTTCACAACTTTAGGTGTATTCAACAGGACCAATGATACGTTTCTTGTCAACCAGTGCAAAATTTATCTAGACTCCAACGAACATACAAATGGGAGCTATATCTAAATCTGAATCGATTTCAACAAAATTATATGTCAATCGTAAAAACGTTGGGTCTTCAGTGCACACTTTACTTTACAATCGAAGGAAACTATATATGGGAGCTATATCTAAATCTGAAGCGATTTTCACGAAACTTAGCACACATCACTCTAGACTTAATTCCGTACGCTGTGCCAAATTTCGTGCAAATCGAAAGATATATAAGGACTTTGGTACACCATTTACATAAAATCGGACGAAACTATATATGGGAGCTATATCTAAATCTGATCCGATTTCTACGAGACTTAGCACACATCATTCTAGACTTAATCGAGTACTCTATGCCAAATTTCGTGCAAATCCAAGGATATATAGGGACTTTGGTGCACCATTTACATAAAATCGGATGAAACTATATACGGGAGCTATATCTAAATCTGAAGCGATTTTCACGAAACTTAGCACACATCATTCTAGACTCCATCGAGTACTCTATGCCAAATTTCGTGCAAATCCAAAGATATATAAGGACTTTGGTACACCATTTACAGAAAATCGGACGAAACTATATATGGGAGCTATATCTAAATCTGAAGCGATTTTCACGAAACTTAGCACACATCATTCTAGACTTAATCGAGTACTCTATGCTAAATTTCGTGCAAATCCAAGGATATATAGGGACTTTGGTGCACCATTTACATAAAATAGGATGAAACTATATATGGGAGCTATATCTAAATCTGAACCGATTTTCCCCAATTTCAATTGGGCCAAATCGGATCATAAATGCGACCTGTACGTTGTTTACAATTTAACATGGACAGACAGACAGATGGACAGACGGACGGACGGATGTACTGACATGCATAAATCGACTTAGTAAGGGATTCTATGCATATTCTCAAAAGGAACCATATGTCTATCTCGTTTCCTTTTGCCTGTTACAAACATATACACAAATACATAATAGCCTGTACCACAGTGTAGTGAAGGGTATAATAATGGACCGATATATCCAACTTGCAACATCAATCATCCTAGTGGTGGTAGCAATGTCTATGCAAAATTTCAAAACTCCGTCTCAAATATTGCGAACTCTGTGGGGACTATAACAGAGGGACTTACTGACAGACGGACATGGCTAAATCGAAGTAGATTTTTATTCCGATTAAGTATGAGGTCACTGGTGTTGAATATTTCGAGTTGATGCAAACGGTATGACAAATGTCATATACACTTCACATTAGGGAGGTGGGCAGGAATTTCAAATTACAACTGCTTCAATTTATAAATGTGAAAGACGGACAATCAGACCCTCCACCTGATGTTGAAGGTTATACAATTTGAGGGTCTTACATTTTACCAGCTTAAAGAATGTCCATACTTACCTCAACAATTTACTGTGATACTCAATGAAGTACTTCACAACCTCCATATCCGATTTGCGATTTTCCATCACTCCCCCAAAAATTTCTTCACCCCTCCCCTTTATTTTATAGCCCTTCATGCTCTTAGCCACATAATCAAAATGCATTATTATTTGTGATATCAGAGCATACAGCAACAAATCATTCGACAAAGTCCCCATGGCTGAGGTGTGACCTGCAAAACTTGTCATCCCATATAGGAGATAATATGACCAATGATTTCGCCAATTCCATGGTGTATAAATAAAATATGGCAACTCCTGTACGGGTTGTGGGTCCTCCAGAATTTTCGATGTAACTTCATACTTCATTAAGGCCAGTAAATTGAAAAACCAAATTGCAAGAAAATACCAATATGACATCAATTTTGATAGGCTACGGCACTTTCTTAAATAAAAATCCACGTGATATGATCTCTGCGATTCCTCTTCATGCGGAAATATTGCCCGTAAATCACGAATGAAATTATCGATTAGCGGTCGCTTATGCCATATCATAAAAACTTTCCAACACGCATTCATCACGAAACCACTGTATGCCATTGACATAAGGAAATCGGGTGTATTCACCACCTCCGATGGCGCGAGGGATGAGAAGATTAGATTCAATATTTCACCAAATGTTATTAAATATAAATTATACGAATTTAAATAAAATACAAGATTTCTTAAATATTTTCTATAACGCGTTTCCAATTTCTTTTTGCCACACGCTTCAATGCCAATTGTGGCATAGACGAAATCGACATAGACGAAAAATTTCTCAAACAGACCGGAATAAGGCATTTTTTTAAATTGGTAATTGTATTAATGCCGATTTTTAAGGACGAACAATACTTGTTGTTTAGATTGTTGATTTCAAACTAAATTCTAGAATTGAAAATTAACAGAAAAGTTAAAAATTTGTTTTACGAATATAAATTTTTAACTTTTCTGTTAACCTTAACATTAAACTCAAATTTTATTTTAGTTGTTGTATTCTATGAAAAACTTTTCGTGATGTTAGAAGTTGTTGTTTGCTTCCCGTATGCATGGTAATAATGGCATTTGGGCATTGTCAATTAATTAATTAGTCTTAATATAGAAATTAGTTTTGTAGTTGAAGGCCACCGGAGAATCAAATGTATTTTCCGGGTTTATTTCTATTAAAATTCTACATATTTGTTTGAAATAAAATGCCGATATATGAAGAATTTTTCAATTTCCCAATAACCAACAACTAACCTCTTTCTAAAATGGTAAGGTAAGTGCTCCCAAATACAAGCCTAGATGTTTTTTCAAAATAATATTTTTTGAAGGCCACACAAGGCGTCAAGTTGTAATTCTTAAATTTAGAGTTAGGATCGCTGTTGGGGTGTAGTTTTGTAAATTTATACTAATGTGAACTAAATGGTTCTATATTTGGTACTATTTGATTCTGGGTGAATCGATAGGGCTTAAACCGTGAAATTTAGAATTTAAGATTAAGTTTTGGAAATTTGTATTCATGGGTACAAAATTTGATACAATTAGGATTTAAGTGAACGGATCGGGCTGGAATCCTAAAATGGGGAAATGTTATTTATATTGGATTGTTGGGGTGAGTACTTATGGAAGTGTTTATACCCTTCACAACACTGTAGTACAGGGTATTATGTCTTTGTGCATATATTTTTAACAGGAAAAAGGAATCAAGATAGACCCATGGTTCCTTTTAAGAATATGCATAGAATCACTTTCTGAGTCGATTTATGCATGTCCGTCTATCTGTCCATGTTAAATTGTAAACAAAGTACAGGTCGCATTTATGGCCCGAATTGGATGAAATTTGGCATATGTCACATATTTGGCCCAAGGATGAAACAAAGTCCCTATATATCACTGGATTTGCACGAAATTCGATACAGCGTACTGAATGAACATTTACATTCGTGGAAAGATATATATAGCCGATTTTAGTTAAATGGTGCACCAATTTGATTTATTTGATTTGCTTCGTGAAAATCGGTTCAGATTTAGATATAGCTCCCATTTATATTTTCGACCGATTCAATGTAAATGGTGTACCAAAGTCTTTATATATCCTTCGATTTGCACGAAATTTGGCATAAAGCACTGAATTTAGTCTAAAATGTTGCTTGTAAAATTTCCTGAAAATTAGGATATATCTCCTATATATACAAACCGTGCATAAATTAGTCTAACCTAAACCCCATATAACGGTACCATTTTTATAGAATATTGCGAGGATGAAAATATGGAATCTTGCAATAATTGGGGTCCGGCTCAAGCTATATCTTCATATATATGGCGATTTTTTTCCTTTCATCCCAAATTTTTCACCCTTCCAGAAAGTTTTCAATATAGGTTCATATTTTTACATGGATTCCAGACATTTCAAAGTACTTCAGACTTTGAAAGCTATATATAAACCAGTAAGGAAAGTAGTAAAGTCGGACTGGACCGACTATATGGTAGTCTTCACAACTTTTGGTATATTCTACATATATTTATCCTAACAGACCTCGCATTTTCGAAGGAACGTTGACGTAAAATTGATTGATCTTTATCTATGTTTAAGCCGACTAACATCAATCCCTGCACTGTTTAACATTTAATCCCAATCAGCCACCCATTGATTATTTGGTGTTTAGAGATAATATGAATAAGTCGAAATTGTATATGGAAGCTATACTATATATAAATCGGAACCGATTTCATGAAAACTTGTCAGAGATTAATTTATTTTAACTTCAGTACGTTGTGTCAATCGGCCTAACTGTGGGTCTTTCGTGCACCATTTACATAAAATAGGACGAAAATATGTATAGGAGGTATATGTAAATCAGAACCAATTTCAAGAAAACTTGATACACGTAAGGTCATATTAACTTTAGTACATTGTACAGAATTGCGTGTCAATCGTCCAAATTTTGGGTCTTTAGGGCACAATTTACATTAAATCGGACGAAAATTTATGTGGGAGATATATCTAAATTTGAACCGATTCTCAAGAAACTCAATACACATCACACTAGACTTATTTCAGTACGCTTTGCAAAAAATTGATACACTTACAGGGACTTTGGTGCTCCATTAACATAAAATTGGACGAAAATATATATGGGAGCTATATCTAAATCTAAACCTATTTTCACGAAACTTAGCATACACCATTCTAGACTTAAATCAGTACGCTATGCCAAATTTCGTGCAAATCGAAAGATATCTCTGGGACTTTGGTGCACAATTTACATTAAATATATATGGGAGCTATATCTAACTCCGAACTGATTTTCACGAAACTTAGCACACATCATTCTAGACTCAATTCAGTACGATATGACAAATTTCGTGGAAATCGAAAAAAATAGGGGCTTTGATGTTCCGTTAACATAAAATATGACGAAAATATATATACAACTAAATCTGAACCGATTTTCACGAAACATAGCACACATCATTCTAGACTTAATTTAGTTCGTTGTGCCGAATTTCGTGCAAATCGAAAGACATAATACCCTGTACCACAGTGTGGTGAAGGGTATAAAAAGTGACGTGGTACTTTATTCGATGAACCGTATGTGGTCCCACGAACAGTATCAGGATGCGGAATGACAAAATTAATATACCCTCCATACTATGGCGGAGGGTATATTAATTTTATCATTACGTTTGTAACTCATCGAAATATTCATTTCCAGCAATATAAATCATATATTCATGATCAGGGTAAAATTGTAAGACGATCTAGCCATGTCCGTCCGTCTGTTGTAATCAAGCTATCTTCTGAAGGAATTGAGATAGGGTGCTGAAATTTTGCATAGGGTTGTCTTTTGTCTGCTGGCAGGTCAAGTTCGATGATGGGCTATATCGGTCCCGTTTACGCATAGCTCCCATATAACGGTACCCCCCAATTTTCGGTATTTTGGTGTCCTTGAGCGCGTTTTGCAGTCGAATTCGCTGAAATTTGGTACATTGAGTTCTTATTGGGTAGCTAATCTCTCCACTATAATTTATAAATATGGGTCCATATTTTCGTATAGCCCCCATATCAGAGTACCCCTAATTTTGCGGTATTTTGGGGGGCTTGATAGCATTTTTCGACCGAATTCGCTGAAATTCGGTACTTTGAGTTCTTATTGGGTAGCAAATCTCTATACAACAAATTATAAATATAGGTCAATTTTTTCGGGTAGCCCCCATATAAGGGTACCCCCCAATATTCGGTATTTTAAGGTTCTTGAGCGCGTTTTTCAACCGAATTCGCTGAAATTTGGTACATTGGGTTCTTATTGGGTACCAAATTTCCCCAGTAAAAATTATAAATATAGGTCCACTTTAATGGTAGCCCCAATATAAGGGTACCTCCCAATTTCCAGTTTTTGGGGGGTTTGACCGGATTTTTTTACCGAATTGACTGCAACTTAGTAATTTCAGTTATTATTGGGTAGAAAATCTCTCCACAAAAAAATATAAATATAGGTCAATTTTTTTCGGGTAGCCTCTTATATGGGGGCTACCCCAATTTTCGATATTTTGAGGTTCTTGAGCGCGTTTTTCAACCGAATTCGCTGAAATTCGGTATTTTGTAGTCGTATATGGTAACAAATCTCCCAACCAAAAACTATTAATATTCACGCCTTTTTAGGGGTAGTCCCCATATAACCCCCTTTTTATACCCTCCACCATAGTATGGAGGGTATATTAGTTTTGTTTTTCCGTTTGTAACGCATCGAAATAATCATTTCCGACCCTATAAAGTATATATATTCTTGATCAGCGTAAAATTCTATGACGATCTAACCATGTCCGTCTGTCCGTCTGTCTGTCTGTTGTAATCACTCTAGCGTCTAAACGAATTGAGATAGATCGCCAAAATTTTGCATAGAGTCGTCTTTTGTCTGCAGGCAAGTTCGAAGATGGGCTTTATCGGTCCACGTTTAGGCATAGCTCCCATATAAGGGTACCCCCCATATGTTCGGTATTTTGGGGTTCTTGAGCGCGTTTTTCAACCGAATTCGCTGAAATTTGGTACATTGGGTTCTTATTGAATACTCAATATCTCCACAAAAAATTATAAATATAGGTCCACTTTTTCTGGTAGCCCCCATATAACGGTACCTCCAAATTTTCAGTATTTTGGGGGTTTTGAACGTATTTTTCCGCCGAATTAGCTGTAATTTAGTATTTTGAGTTCTTAATAGGTACCAAATATTTCCACAAAAAATTATGAATTTAGGGCAATTTTTTCGGATAGCCCCCATATAAGGGTACCCCCCAAATGTCGGTATTTTGGGGTACTTAAGCGCGTTTTTCAACCGATTTCGCTGAAATTTGGTACATTTGGTTCCTATTGGGTGCCAAATATATCCACCAAAAATTATAAATATAGGTCCAATTTTTCTGGTAGCCCCCATATAAGGGTACCACCACTTTTCGCTATTTTGAGGTTCTTGAGCACGTTTTTCAACCGAATTCGCTGAAATTTGGTATTTTGTAGTCGAATATGGTAACAAATTTCTCTAAAAAAAATTTTAATATGCACCCCCTTTTTAGGGTAGTCCCCATATAACCCCTTTTTATATTAAAATAGTTATGAAATTTGTTCCGCGTTTTGGGTTTGGTTCTAAGACTCGGTTGTAACTATATCACCTGTGGAGGATATCGAGATAAAAAAC